TGAGCATTCATAAAATTCTACAAATATTAATTCTCCATGCACATAAGTTTCCTCCTAAAAGACAAAAATGCATAAAATCCAAGGCAAACCCTTTTTAATTCTAGAGTTCCCTTCAAGAGATTCATGTACTGCAGAGAAAAAGAACTACCATGAACTAAGAAGAAAAGAAAAAAATTTAAACAAATCTTTCTATTTTTTTAAGAATTTTAAAAAGAATTTTTTTAAGGATTTTTTAAAAAAAAATTAAAAAGAATTTTTTAATGATCTTGAATTTTTTTAAGCATATATACGTGTGTCATTGAATATTAAAAAGATTTTTTTTAAGAAATTTGAAAAAAGAAGAAGAAATTGTCAAGTGGCGTGTGCAAGGATAAGAGTTTTTAGTAATAGATATAGATTAATGATCTTGGAAGTTGAAGAAAATGTGTCATTGAATATTAAAAAGATTTTTTTTTTAAAAGAAGAAATTACCAAGTGGTGTGTGCAAGGATAAGAGTTTTTAGTAATAGATATAAATTATGAATCTCAAACGACTTTCGTAGTAAAATAAAATAAGGAAATAATTCGATAAGTACCGCAACTAGTAGCTTTAGACTCGTTGTTTATAAGTGAAAACAAAATAAGGAAATAATTATTAACTATTAAAAATTAATTGTTTTGTGGCATGTGAAGGGCGCAATACGCTGTTTTAAAATATTGGATAAATGCAACTTCTTCTAATTGCTGATTCCATTTCTTGTACGAAGGGGACAGATTAGGGGGTAGCTATCCACGTGTACCAAAGAAAATTCACATATTGGTAGGTGCATGTTATTATTATTATTATTATTTGTGTTTTAGTGAAAGTTGCAGTATATTTTTGAATGTTGAATTCTCAGTGAAATTTGATTCACGCCGTTTCACTAATATTGACATGTGCTGATATATTTGTTTGTTTGCTTCCTTAGCGTGCTTGATGAAGCACCTATTTTATGTTCATCTTTAATTTGACCTCTTACATGACTACGATTAATTTATAGATTTTTATCCCGCAAAAAATCTTAAACCATTTATCTATACCACATATAAAAAAGGATTGGGCTGTTAAAACTTTTGATTGCCTCCTTTACCCTTCCAAAATTTGATAATTCACAATAATGCCTTAAAATTTATTCAATTCATTCTATTTATTACA